AAAATAAATCTCTCAATACTAGTATGTTAGAAGAACAATTAAAAAAAAGAATGAAAAAAATCTGAAGAAAGTCTAAGAGTTATGTGGGACACCAAGAAGACAAACAACTTTGAGTGATCGGAATTCCAGAAAGCAAGAGACAATGAAAAACACAAAGAAAATTGTCAAAGAGATGGTGGAAGAAAACGTCCCTAATATCTTGAAAGACAAGAAGATAAGCATACAAAAATCTATATGAACCCTAAACAGGATAGCTCCGAAAAGAAAATCACCAAAACATATCATAAACTTTCCAAAAACAAAGACAAGAAAAGAATCCTGAGAACAGCTTGGGAAAAGCAAAAAGTTACCCACAAGGGAGAACCAATAAGACTAAGCTCTGATTTCTCAGCAGAAATCACGTAGAAAAGAAGGTAATAATGTGTTGACATACACAAAACTCTGAAACAAAAGAACTGCCAGCCAAGAAATTTTTAGAAAACTGAAAACTGCATTGGTTGAAATTGAAAAATGCCAGGAAAGTTTAATGAGGATTTTTTTCCTCCATTATGACAATGTATCTGCTCATTCTTCCGGGGTAGCAAGGGCTGTCCTAAGAGAATTTCATATGGAAACCTGAACCTACCTACCCTACAACCCTGATTATGCCCCTTCAGACTTTTCTTCATTCAAAAACTCACAGAATATTTAAAAGGAACACGATTTGAGCCCCTCAAGGATGACAAAACTGTTGTTTTAACATGATGTAAATAGAAGAGTGTAGACTTATTCAAGGAAAGGTTGTTGTTGTTAAGCGCTGTTAAGTCAGTTCTGACTCATAGCAACCCCATATAGGGTTTTCAAGGAGCAGTTGGTGGGTTTGAACTGCTGACCTTGCAGTTAGCAAGTCCATGGCTTATCCTACATCGCCACATCAGGAACTCAAAGGAACGGTTGTTGATGTTAAGTGTTGTTGAGTTGGTTCCAACTCATAGTGACCTTGAATAGGGTTTCCAAGGCTTTAAATCTTTGCAGAAGCAAAAGAGCCTCATCTTTCTCTTGTGGAGAGGCTGGCGGGTTTAACCACTGACCTTGTGGGTCACAGTCTAGAACTTATCCTGGAGAGATGGAAATTCTATCTCCAGGAGTATATAGACTTAGAAGAAAGATATGTCAAGAAACAATAGCTTAACAATTTGATATATTTGTTTATTAATCTTTTTATTATTTTATAACAATTCTTTTTGTACTTACCCTCATATATGAGAACAATAAAGCTGAAAGTTAATATAAAACAAGTAATACAGAGCCAGGAAAAGGTAGATAGATGTTAGCAAGTTCAGTGATCCAATCTACCATGCTTTTCTCACATCCAATTGTTTTCCCTATCATTTTAATGATAACAAATAAAGTGTAACATTGTTGTAATCTCTCTCTCTAATGTATAAAAATCTGACTTATCCCAAGCATCTTCTTTTAAACATATACTCAATATCTGAAGAAACATCATTTTATAGAGCCTACCTGGTGCTGTGGGCTAATGCACTGGACTGCAAAGTTAGTTTGAACCACAAGGTTGGCGGTTCAAGCTCACCAACTGCTCCTTAGAAACGCTATACAGGGTTGCTATGGGTGGAAACTGACTTGATGGCACTTAATACCACCACCTGCCTGTTGTGGCACTGTAGAATAAGCACTGAACTGCTAACCTCAAGGTCAGAAGTTCAAACCCACCAGCCACTCCTTGAGAACCCTATACAAATTGCTATGAGTTGGAACAGATTCTATGTCACTTAACACTATGGATATAACTTATATTCATCTATATATATAAAATATAATTTTTTGAATACTTATATGCCAGGAGTCCCCAGTTAAACACTCAGATAAGCCACTAAACAAAGGATTGGTAGCTTGAATCCACCCAGATGTACCTTGGAAGAAAGGCCTGGTGATATACTTCTGAAAGATCACAGTCACTGAAAACCCTATGGGGGGAAAAAAAAAAAAAAAACCTATGGGGGACAGTTCTACTGTGATACCCAGCAGGTCACAATGAGTTGGAATCAATATCAGAATTTTTTGGTAGCAACTGGTTGGTTACTAAAAGCCAGTCCACTGTCATAAATGCTTTAAGGGTATCTCATTTGATCCTCACAACATTGTGAGGTTGTTTTTGTTGAGTGCCATCCAGTTGGTTTCCAAGTAGCGGTCTCCAAAGTATGCCTGGTGGGTTTGAACTGCCAACCTTGTAACCTTGTGGTTACCAGGCCAGTGCTCATTCAATAGCACACCAGGACAATTATTATGCCCATATGTCATTTGAGCAACTAAGGATATAATAGTAAATTATTAGTCCAAGTTGACACATGTTAGACTTTGCTTGACTCTAGTAGCTGCTCTTCGGTCAGAATTAACTTGATGGCAACTGGTTTGGTTTTGGTATGTTGCCTATTAGGGACTAAAAGTTCACATTTAAAAATTAATACATGGAACTTAATGGTGAACCCATAATCTTCTATATTGGAAAATGAGAATTATTTTCTAAATTGCACTTAAGGAATCTGCTTAAATTTTTGGATGTCATGCTATTCTTACACACAGGGGAAGTTAGTCAATTTTCCATTTGTGCTTATAGGACCTTTATATAAGAAATTCTGAAATAATGAATAAAAACAAATTATTCAAGCAACTGTTAGAGCATAAAATGCTTATTAAGAACAATAAGCCAAATTGCATAAATACACTTGTAACTCAATTAGCCAGAGAAACTTCTCATTAAAGTCAATATGAATTTAAAAAAACACGATTCTGACAATAGGAAAAAAGTATGCCAGCATATGACTGTTAAGACTGATGTCTGAAAAGCACTTAGGATCCAGGATATCAAAACACAAATATCGAACTTTGATTTCTCCTAAGTCATAAATGTTCATTGACATTGGCATAAGGATAGACACATAAATCAATGGAACAGAACTGGGAGGTCAAAAGTAAGCCCTACCAAGTGACTTCTGATGAGGGTGCCAAGAGAGCCCAATGGTGAAAGAACATTGTGGGCAGCTAGAGAGCCACATGTAAAAGAATAAAGTTGGACCTCTTATATCACACACCAGAATTAATTCCAAAGGATCAAAGACCAAAATCTATGAAACTCTTAAAAGAAAATATAGGAGTAACTTTTTGTAGTTTTGGACTGCATAATGGGTTTCTTACATATAACACAAAAATACAAGCAATGAAAGAAAAATTCGATAAACTGGACTACATCAAAATTTAAAACTTTTACACAACAAATGATACCATCAAGAAGGTGAGAACAGAATGCACAGAATAGGAAAAAATATTTGCAAATCACATACCTGATAAAGGTTAAGTAACCAGAATTTATGAAGATTTCTTATAATTCAATAATAAAAAGACAAATCACCTAATTGAGTATGGTCAAAGAAATGTTTCTGGGTGGTGCAAATGGTTTGTGTTGGGCTAATAATTGAAAGGTTGTTGTTGTTAAGCACTAATGACTCAATTCTGGCCCATAGCAACCCTGTGTAGGTTTTCCAAGGAACAAATGGTGAGCCTGAACCACCAACCTTGCGGTTCAAACTGACTTTGCAGTTCATCGCATTAACCCACAGCACCACACCAGGACTCTTAACTGGTTTGGTTAAGAGTTACACTGAAAAGTTACAGGCTCTAATTTACCCAGCAACGCCCAAGGAAGAAGTGCCTGGCAATCTGTATCTGTAAAATGTATTGCTATGGGGAGGGATGGACAAAAAGTATGAACAGACATTTCTCCAAAGAATATATACAAGTGACCAATAAGCAATGAAAAGATGCAGAATATTTTCAGACATCAGAGGAATACAAATTAAAACCACAGTGAGGTATTACTTTAAAGTCAGTTGCTTTTAGGTTGATTTCCACTCATGGTGACTCCATGTGATTCAGAGAAGAACTGGAGTGTATCCAAAGGTTTTCAATGGCTGTAATTTTTCGGAAACAGATCACAAGGACTTTCACCCAAAGAACCTCTGGGGAGATATGAATCATCACCCTTTTGATTGTTGTGTTAGGTGATGTCAAGTCAGTTCTAACTCATAGCGATCTTGCATAGGTTTTCCAAGGAGTGGCTAGAAGATTGGAACTGCCTACCTTATGGTTAGTAGTACAGTGCTTATCTTACAGCATCACACCATGACTCCACCTTTTGACTAGCAACTGAGTAGTTAAGTGTTTGTGCCCATCTAGGACTCCTGATATTATTTATACATTCACTGAGAGAAAAACAAATTAGTTGTCACGGAGTCGATGCTACAGAGTAGAACAATGCTTTGTGGATTTCCAATGGCTATGATATTTCAAAAGCAGATCACTAGATCTTTCTTCCAAGGTGCCTGTGCGTAGACTTGAACTACCAACCTTTCAGTCAGTAGTAGAGTGCTTAACTATTTGAGCCACCTAGGGACTTATTTACAGTTACCATATGACATTCCTACCTATCAGGGATGACACAGATTACTTTCTAGGAGTGCAGGGCAAAAGCCAGTTCTCTCTTTGGGTAAGATAAAATTTCTTGATCTTGCACACTCAAGTATGCAACTGACATCTAGAAGGTAGAACCAGAGATGCTGCCAAGTATCCTACAATACCTAGGACACTCCCACAACAATAGTCTGACCCTAAATATCAATAGTGCTGCTGTTAACTGGCATACAGCAATTCATTCAAGTTCTGGAGAGTGTATCATTCATTAATCCTCTCTCAAGAGCAATCACAAGTTAGTACTAAGCCACTACCAACACCGTGTGCTTAGCTATACCAATGCTAAGTCTCTACTAATGCTGTCTATTAAGGTAATTTGGAAATTAAATGAATGGATTTTTCTTAGTAGGTTATACAATAGCTACGAAACTACTTGAAATAAAAGCACAGATACATACATATGTTTTAAAAATAAACAATTATATATTACATCTTAATATAAAAGGAACAAATGATAAAGTGAAAGCACTTACTGTAAAAATTTCCTAAATTCTGAAGGTTCAAAGTTCTCCACAACAAGCTCATGATTTGTTAAATCATTTGATGTCTTTCCAATAGTATGAGAATAGAAGTCAGGAACCCTTGCTAAGAGGATTGCTTTGTGTGCTTTGAACAAAGTACAACCTATACAGAAAGTAACATCTGTATAGATTTCTTCTCTTAGAAGTCTGTAAGGAATAATAAAGAATCACAGGTTGGTTAAGAAACATGAATCTATTCTTAAATAGATCTAAAATATAACATGTAAGTTTAAAAATAGAAATGCAACATAGGCTAAAAGTTGCTGTTGTTAAGTGCTGTCAAGTCAGTTCCAACTCACAGACACCCTGAATAGGGTTTCTGAGGAGCAACTGATGAATTTGAACCCCAGACCTTGTGGTCCAGTGCATTATACCATAGTACCACACCAAGTTCATACAAAGAAAGTTTGTTCTCAACCCATTCCAAAGAGCATTACCTATTAATAATGGCTTATAATCTAATTTCCTAAATTAGTAAATAAACTTTCAGCTTTATTGTTCTCATATGTGAGGGTATATGAGGGTAAGTACAAAAAGAATTGTTACAAAATTATTTTTTAAATTACAGTAAAAACAAAGCTAATCTCACAAAAACTGTAAAGCTATTTTTTTCAAAAAGATCTTTAAAATTAAATTCCTTCTAATAACAATAAAATTTACTTTATGCAACTCATAGCTCTTTTCCTTTAAAAATGTGTATCTTAAGTATATTCTGAAAAACAGAACACTGAGTAACGACGTTACTGTATGGCGAAAAAGCTGGTATTTTAAAAATCTTACTAAAATTGAAGCAAAAAGAGTGAACTCCAACAAACTCAATATAACAATTGACAATTCACAATTGAAACTGGTATGCTTTATTCTGGTGTTAAATACCAAGTATGAAATGCAAGCAAGACTATTAAGAATGTGACATTTTGGACTACAATTTCTGCAGCAACTAATCCATGATGGCAAACCTTAACCTCAGCAATAAGCACTCACAAACAGTCAAGATTGGTCAATAATGGCCACAGTCCCTACTATTTGTCCCATATTCAATTTAGGACAAATGACAGGAGGTCAAATATGCTCCCCCATACGAGGTTGCTATGGATCCGAACCAATTCGACGGCACTTAACAACAACAATAACCAAGCACACAGGATGTCTTTCTTCTACTTACCTAGCCTCCAGCTTCCTGGTTGTGTAGTAGGTTATGTATTGGGCTGTTAACCACTAGGTCAGCAGTTCAAATCTACCAGTCGCTTCATGGGAGAAAGATGAGGCTTTCTGTTCCTGTAAAGATTTATAGCCTCGGAAACCGTACACAGGCTCACTAAAAGTCAAAACCAATGTGATGGCATGAAGCAGCAGCTTCCTGGTGCTAATAACCTGCAATCAGCGCTTACCTGAAGTCATCCCTTTCTCCATCATAAACCTTTGCCATTCCTCTGCTTCCTTTGAGTCTCATCCCAATGCAAAAGATTGTGGCGGACTCCCTTATGTTGTTGTTGAAAAGTGCTGTCAAGTCAGTTCCAACTCATAGCGGCCCTGTGTAGGGTTTCAAATGAGCAATTGGTAGGTTTGAACACTGACCTTGCAGTTAGCAGCCCAGAGTTGATCCTACAGCTCCACACCAGGACCTCTTGTTATATACAGTAGACCCAGAATAAATAGCCTTCACCTATTCTCAAAAAAGTGACATTTAAGCTCTATTCTATTTCCTCCCTACCAATGAAAACATTCATTAATAATTAGAACACGAAATGCACAAAGTATGAATCTAGGAAATTTTGAAGTTGTAAAAATGAAGTGGAAGGCATAAACATCAATATCCTAGGCATTAATGAGATGAAATGGACTGGTATTGGCCATTCTGAATATGACTGTCATATGGTTTACTACTTTGGTAACATCCACAACAAAAGAAAACCAGGAATGCCACTGCATTCATCATAAAAAACTACATTTCAAGATCTAGCTTGAAGTACAGTGCTGTCTGTGATAGGATAATATCCATACACTTACAGAGAACAACCGTTAATACCACTTATTCAGATTTACACACAAACTACTAAAGCCAGTGATGATGAAACTGAAGAATGCTACCAGCTTCTTTGGAGTTCTGGTGTGACTGCTAACCACAGGCAAGTGGTTCAATACCACCTGCAGCTTCTCAAGATTCTATACAGTGTTGCTAAGAGTCAGAACAAATTCAACTGCACATAACAACAAACAGCTTCTTCTATCAGATATTGATTAAATATGCAATCAAGAGGTGTTGATAATTACTGCTGATTGGAATGCAAGGTTAGAAACAAAGAGAAAGGATCAGTGGTTGGAAAATATGGCCTTGGTGATAGAAATGATGAAGGAGATCACATGATAGAATTCTGCAAGACAAATGGCTTATTCATTGCAAATACCATTTTCAACAGCATAAAAGATGACTATTACACATGGACCTCAACAGATGGAATACACAGGAATCAAATTGACTACATCTGTGGTAAGAGACAGTAGAAAAGCCAAAATTAAGACGAGGGGAAGACCATGGAACAGACCATTAATTGTTCATATGCAAGTTCAGGCTGAACCTGAAAATATTAAAACAAGTCACATGAGCCAAAATGTGACCTTGGACATATCCCACCTGAATCAAGAACATATTTGATTCATTAGACACTAATGACATAATACCAGAAGAGCTGTGGAATGACATCAAGAACATCACAAGAAGAAAGCAAAAGGTCATTACGAAGACAAGAACAAAGGAAAAGACCAAAATAGGTATCAGAAGTGACTCTAAAACTTGCTTTCCAGTGTAGAGATGCTAAAGCAAAAGGAAGAAATGAGGAGGTAAAAGAGTTGAACAGAAAAATTTAAAAGGCAGCTCGAGAAGACAAAGTCAAATATGCAAATACATGCATATTTTAAAGTTGTCAAAGACATCACTTTGCTTGGATCCACAATCCACAAAAAAAAAAAAAAAAAAAGGAAGAAGATCCTCAGCACTTTTCAAGTTGGAAGAACTGAAGAAAAACTTCAAGCCTTGACTTGAAATGGGTAAAATATTGAAGGATGCAGAAAGCATCAGAAGAAGATGGAAGGTATACACAGAGTCACTGTACCAAAAAGAAACGCTTAATGTTCAATCCTTTCAAGAGGTAGCACATGATCAAGAAGCAATAGCACTGAAGTCAAAAAATCCAAGTTGCATTGAAGGCATTTGTGAAAAACAAGACTCCAGGAATTGACAGAATACAAATTGAAATTTCTCAACAAACTGATAATGCCCTAGAGATTCTCACTCATCTATGCTAAGAAATTTTTGTAAGAGTTACCTTGCCAACTGATTGGAAGTGATCCATAGTTGCGTCCATTCCAAAGAGAGGTGACACAAAGGAATGTGGAAATCACTTAATTATATCACCTGCAAGTAGAAATTTTCTGAAGATAATTTGACTACAACAATAGTACATCAACAGGAAACTGCCAGAAATTCAAACCAGATTCAGAAAACAACATGAAACCAGGGATCTCATTGCTGACATCAGCTGAATCTTAACTGAAAGAATACCAGAAAGGTGTTTACTTGTGTTTTACTGACTATGAAAAGCCTTTTGATTGTGTGGATCCTGACAAGCTATGAATAACATGGGTATTCCAGAACACTTAATTGTCCACATAAGGAACCTCATGTGGCAGTTGTTCAGACAGAACAAAGGGACACTGAATGGTTTGAAATCAGGAAAGGTGTGTGCCCGGGTTGCAGCCTCTCACTATACTTAATCAATCTGTATGCTGAGCAAATAATCTAAGAAGCTGGAGCATATGAAGAACATGGCATTAGGAATGGAGGAAGACTCATTAACAACTTCCAATATGCAAATGATACAACCTTGCTTGCTGGAAGCAAAGATGAATTAAAATACTGATGAAGATCAAATACCAGTCTTCAGTATGGAATGCACCTCAATGTAAAGAAAACAAAAAATCCTCACAACTGGACCAATAAATAACATCATTGGCAAACAGAGAAAAGATTAAAGTTGTCAAAGACATCATTTTGCTTGGATCCACAATCAGCAGTCATGATATAGCAGTCAAGAAATCAAATGACATATGTTGTTGTTGTTGTTATGTGCCGTGGAGTTGGTTCCGACTCATAGCCACCCTGTACAGGGTTTCCAAGGCTGTAAATCTTTATGGTAGCAGAAAGCCTCATCTTTCTCCCATAGAACGGCTGGTAGTTTCGAACTGTTGACCGAGAAATTAGCAGCCTGATTTGTAACCACTACGCTACCAAAGCTCCTTCAAATGACATATAGCATTATGAAAATCTGCTTCATAAGATCTTTTTAAAGTGTTCATAAGCAAAGATATCAGTTTGAGGACGATGGTGTGCCTGACACAAGTCATGGTATTTTCAATAGCTTCATATGTATATAAAAGCTGAACAATGAATAAGGAAAAACAGAGAACTGATAACCAGAGAAGAAGTTATGATATTGGAGAAGAATAAAGTACAATGGACTGCCAGAAGAACAAACAAATCTGTGCTGGAAGAAGTACAGCCAGAATGTTCCTTAGAATCCAGGATGGCAACACTTTGTCTCTCATACTTTGGACATGTTATCAGGAGAGACCAGTCCCTGGAGAACATCATGCTTAATAAAGTGACGGTCAGTGGGAAAGATGAAGACCCCACCCCCCCAATGAGACAGATTGGCACAGTGGCACCAGTAACAGGCTCAGGAATAACAACAATTGTGAGGATGGCACAGGGGCAGTGTTTCGTTCTGCTGTGCGTAGGGCCGCTATGAGTTGGAGACGACAGCACCAAACAACAACAGAATTAACCAAACTGTACAGTTTTATTCTGGCACACCTACGGTAACAATGAATCAGAAGTGACTCAATTTGAATTAGGTTTTTTTAAATCTATTATCAAAATGATGGACTCATTGGGAATATTCATTCTAATCTTTACAGATGTGCAGGCACAGTTACAGTAAAATTAACTAACTACAAGTAATGGAATTATTGAAATTAGCATCCTAAAGGAAGTTGTCATAATCTCCTTTTCTCTTTGTTGTTGTTAAATGCCAGCAAATTAGTTCCGACTCTATACAGGGTTTCCAAGAAGCAGCTGGTTTGAACTG